TATTAGTTAATTGTATAATTAATTGTATTTTTATGTGCTTATTTTAATTCAATTTTTTTTTTTTGAAGCGAGTGGTGACTATAACAAGATATGGAAACTTGACGATACTCTGTATCTTACCATGAATGGTAGTCGGTCATCGAAAAGATGAAAATCGATACTAAAAATTACCTTGATCGCTGTGAAAAACTGAAAAGCTTTCCTGTCTTTAAAGATGTTGCTCTGAATGGCTTCCAATACTTGAAGAAAATTGCTGGTGATAATAAACGTCCTGATTTCACTAAAGATCAGCTTCGTCATTGGGTGCTTAAGTATCAGAATGCTGCTTCGTTTTTCTGTAGTTTCGTTGATCAGGTATGTTGTTTTTGAGTCATTTATGTTTTATTTGAACTCAAATTTTTATTGATTTTATATTTGTGCTTCAAATTTTTATTGGTATTTTTTTTGCAGACACCTGTTGTTATTTACAGGGTATGAGTAAAAAATGAAAACAATGCACCCGTAGACGTTTCTACTCTTGATGAGAAGGCTAGATTTGATTTTCTCGGATCTAGCATTACACAAGCTAGGAAGTACTTGGTGGAAACTGAGTTTTTCAGAAGGTATCCTTTTTAATCCTTATATATTAATGTATCAAACCTTAAATTTATGTGTTTTTTATTTTTTATTTTTTTAATTCATATCTTAAGGTCTGTATTATAGGTGCGAGGAGTTTGAAAAAAATGGCAATGTGTCTGTTGGTGACATTTTTGTCCAATTTGCGAAGAACTACTTTGCCAGGGCAATAGTGTCTTGTGCTCTTGTGGACAATTTTTCTGGTGGAGACATTCAAGGTATTTTTCATTTTTTATGTTTTTCAGTTAGCTTATTCACTATGTTTTTGTTAATTTATCTGTTTTTATACAGATTTTGTTCTTGTTTTGTTTTGTTCAGTTAAATGTATTTCTGCTAGTGGGGAATATTTGTCCTTCACATCCAATGTTGCTCAAGTGTACCTGGACTCATATGTAGATTTAGAGATACACAAGGACATAGTGTTGTTGTTGTTTGTATCAATTGAGTCAAAGGATAGAGCATATGCTGTTTTAAAGTTAACTCCGTTTAAGAAATGGGAAACTCTGGCATTTTTTCATCGGTTAGGTGTCTTTCGGAAAGCGTATGTTCATCGTATTGTATTTGCCAAGTTTGGGGATGAAATTAATTCGCTTGCGGACCATACGAAGGATCTGTTCAATTCAAAAACAGGTAGTATTGGGCCGAAATTTGCTGATTTGGGTAAGGTGAAGGAAATTTTCTCTAAGGTGACGCGAGTGAGATGTTTTGGGTTTCCAGCCATTGAATACAAAGGTGTCCAGGTGTCAGGGCTCTTTCCTAGTTCCGACGATGTTGCCATCAAGGAACTGCTTTGTGGCAATTGTGTTGCTGGGTGGGTTTGATTCCTGACTTACAAGTTCAACGGGATCTTTACTATGTTAATAGGGAATTGGGTATTGGTTTAAATCAATATGCTATGTTGAATTATGCCATGCTTGTTAGGTTTTGTGGAGATTGTATAGAGTTTAGATTAGTCACAATAAAACAAAAGTTCAGAGTTTAGGTGCTTACTACACTTACACAATCTCCACACAACCTGACAAGCATGACTTGTTTCAACAGAGCATACTGATTTAAACCCAATACTCAATTCCTATTAACATAGTAAAGATCCCGAGGAACTTGTAACTTAGGAATCAAACCCACCCAGCAACGCGATTGCCACAAAGCAGTTCCTTGATGGGAACACCGTCGGAACCAGGAAAGAGCCTTGACACTCGGACACCTTTGTATTCAATGACTGGAAACCCAAAACATCCCACTAGCCTCACCTTAGAGAAAATTTCCTTCACCTTTCCCAAATCAGCAGACTTCGGCCTAATCCTACCTGTTTTAGAATTGAACAGATCCTTCATATGGTCAGCAAGCAAATTAATGTCATCCTCAAACTTGGCAAATACAATACAATGAACATACGCTTTCCGAAAGACACCCATCCGATGAGAGAAGGCCAAAATTCCGCATTTCTTTAACATAGGAGTTAACTTTAAAACAGCATATGCTCCATCCTTTGACTCAATTGATACAAACAACACCTTGTCCTTGTGCATCTCCATACGAGTCCAGGTACTTTTGAGCAACATTGGATGTGAAAGACAAACATTCTCCACTAGCAGAAATACATTTAACTGAACAAAATCTCTATAAATTAACAAAAACGTGAATAACCTAAATGAAAAATACCTTGAATGTCTGCACCAGACGTTAAGATCTTTGAATTTAAAAAAAAAACACATAAATTTAAGGTTGGATACATTAATAAGGATTAAAAAAGGATACCTTCTGAAAAACTCAGTTTCCACCAAGTACTTCCTAGCTTGTGTAATGCTAGATCTGAGAAAATCAAATCCAGCGTTCTTAGCAAGAGTTGAAACGTCTACGGGTGCGTGTAGTAAGCACCTAAACTCTGAACTTCTTCTGTTGTATTGCACAAGTCGTGACTTCCCTGCTCTGTCTCTTAACCAAACAAGTTTTTAAGTTTTTGTGATTTAGAAATAAAACTGTACTTCTTTTCTTTCTTATTTTTGTGATTTAGAAATAAACTTGTACTTTTCTTAGTTTTTAAGTTTTCAAATGCAAGCCCACTGAAACAAATTTGCATATATAACTAGGACATGAATGAGTGCACCATCATACTGGAGATGAGAGTTCAATTACAGTTGAAGATCGAACAAGCGAGAGCAATGATATGAGACTTTGAATTTCCCTATCTTCAAATGTAAGATTAGTCCCAAAACAACATGGTTTGCCCTTTTTACCTGTCCGCTCTCGAGGAATGTGTGCGTATGAGATGAATGGCAAAGTTAAACAGTGCTTTTTCGAGCTACCAATATCACAGGCCAACCTTAAGCATCACCTTGGTTCTTGTTACTTTTCAAGTTTGAATCATTTCCAATTTGCATACCTGCTTAACTTGTTAAAAGGTAGAGCATCATCTTCAGGGGATTCCGACTTTAAGATCGGCGAGCACAGCGGTCACCTTTTGCCTAGTACTCAGGCGAAACGAGTAAATCATAACTGATGGAAACAAATATTTTCTTAAGGGATGGTGTTACCTCGCTGTTTGATGAAAATAGGCCATGCTCACTTTCAAGGCCAGCAATGCTGCAAGCCAAGAAAAGTTGAATTCGGCATCAATTGGGACTTTCAAGGCCTGCAATGCTGCAAGCCAAGAAAAGTTGAATGGTGCAAGCCGTGCATCTTTTCTTATTTTCCAAGAACGATGATATTTTTGTCTCTCTCTTTCTTGCAGAACCTAATAAAACAAAAGCCATGAACCTGAATCCTCAGACCATGGTTCACAAAAGCTTCATCAGCAAGCAAAATGTACTTAGAGCAATCCTCAACATATGAAAAATGTTTTCTGAAACAACAGATGTTGTCGTGGCATTAAACATCATGTGACCTAAACATAACTGAAAAAATTAGATATTTCAGTTGTTTGTTAAATCATTTCTCCTGGCCCTTATGCGCTACGTCTCCCGGAGAAACCAATTTAATTATCTTATGTAGCATGCAAGAAATCTCGATTGGTGTTGAGCAAAAATTGTCACAAGGGCAAATAATTTACTCAACACAATTTCACTCTCGTTTATCTTTTCAAAAAAGATTTCTATTATTTTGAGTTCGACTCATTCTAGACCTATGAGCCTATTAATTACAACCCTTCTTTTGAGAAAGGGATTCCCTTTGTTTCTAGTCTGAAAGAAATGAAATTTGAGGATTGGTGTGTTTATTTGATTTTGCGACCGCACCTAGGTCCAGCCCTAGATTTGCTTACGTACCCTTTTGAGGGATCAAGTAACCCTAGTTCTTTTGATTTGGATTTGGGGTTTTTAGTGAGTAAATGACACACTAAAAGGATTTGGGGTTTTGATTTGGATGAATGAACTAGGGATTCGATTTGGTGTTTCGATTTTGCAGTTGCATCTAGAATGTGAGACTAGGCTGCCTACGTATCCTTGATGGAATCAAAACCGGCGTAGTTCTAGATGTAGCTTTGTGCCATTTGGAATTTGGTGCAGCTTTGTGCCATTTGAATTTTGACGCGGCTTTGTGCCTTTGATTTTTTATGCGGCTTCGTGCCACTTGACCACTTGGGAAATTTGACCCATTAATTTTGACGTAACGTATTTCCTTCGAGCTTTGTCATTTGAGATAGTTCTCCTCTACGGAATTTGAAGTGGTTCGAAGCTGTCTCCATGCCCCTTTATTTTACTTTGGATTGCTCGAACACATTGTACCTGCGGCATGCCGTTTCGCTCTTGGCCCAAATTTGGTCTTTTGGTTTTTGAGCGGATGACTAAAAGGAGGGTTTCCATCTTTTAAACCATCACCGTGATTGCTCCATTTCATGCAAACAATCTTGAGTATGCCCAGATACTTTTTCTTCCTCTTTTAAATTTTGGAGGCATCTGGTAGACTGGCACTTGTTGAAAGCAGAATTGTGGTGAGTGCTATCGGATTGCAATAAATCCGTAGCATAACCATTAACCAACAAACATTTGATTTGCTGACTCATAAATCACGGGAAGGAGAGACAATTTGAGTCCCTCATGTTTTTGTTGGATTGTTTACTGTCAGTAGCTGTGTGGAGACGAAGCTGATTTTGAGCCTTCATCTGGATGAACTTGGCATCCAACAACTGCATGAGTTTAGTACCCCAAACACTGCGGATTTTAACACTTAGGAATTGAAATATGATTTTGAGCAAAGCATGTTATTTTTCTCCACCGTGGACGTTAGAGAAAAGTACACGGCAGCTCTGCTATGGGACCTTTCTCCATCGTGACTGCCTTTTCCACCAGAGAACACAAAGGCCTTTTTTCCAACACGATCATCATCTGTCAACTGAACTGAAGGTCTTCCATTTTTGTTTACTGGTGCGAGGCTCATGCATAAATAACTTGTACACGCTTTTGCAAGCTACCAGAATGTGATACATTTCACCTTGCATATAGATATATTTTCTTTGTGATACATTTCAAACTACCAGAATAAATCTTCAAGAATCAGCTGAAGTTCTGAAACTTTTCAGAATGGGGCAATCCTGAGGAGCAACCATTAGGTAAAAAGTATTACATAACTGCACGCCTTTTCAGTTTAAAGTTCAGAATTCGATTGGTGTTGTATCCAACCCCACTCGCTTGCACTTACTGACAACACATCCCTTTGATTATAGCTGCTCTTGGATATTCAGGCAAGTTGGCCACCCCTTTTGTGGGTTTGTCAATCAATCTTCTTTCTTCTTCCCTTGTGACCTTTTCTTTCCCCTTCTCAGCCCAGGCCATACTGATCATATTTATTGGGGCCCCTGAGAAGGGATCAGTAGGTTTATCCATCACGGCTTCCTCTGGTTGGTTGGTTTTAAATCCCCTCTTCTCTCTATCATTTTTTCCCCAAGTTGAGGTAAAAATATAGGAATAGTTGGTCTTATAACCGGGTCAGCTTCCTTTCTGGAGCCTGCGGAGGCGTTCTCCAGTCTTTGTAGCATTTGCAAGCAGTTTGCAAATCTTCTGCTCGTTGTGACATATTTCTTTTGATCAAATGTATCCCACCGGGCGTGCCAAAACTATGTTCGTGGCTAGAATTTCCGCTGGGGATGTTTCCTAGCCGATGAGCACACAGCTCCCCGAGAGGTTGGCTCCGGTTGATGCTTTCTGTCGGGCTTCTGCTTCACTGACGGGCTTTATCGGGCAAGGCTTGTCGGGCAAAGCTGTAGGAGAAGGACAGAGTTAACTTTGAAAGGCGTCTTCGTGGGGCCTTAGGTGTAGGCCTTGAGGCTCACAATCAAGATTAACTTTTATGTGCTCAGGCGTGCCACTGCCATCTTCAGCATGGCAGATGTAAAACGGACGTTGAGTTTTAATTGTATATATACCCGAGAGACTATGTTAGTTATGACAGGTGCCTTTGTGGGGCCTTAGGTGTAGGCCTTGAGGCTTCCAGTCAATAACTAACTTAGTACTCGAACATATAACGTTCGTTTCATTGATTGTATGAGTCTTTATAACCATTATACTTCTGATTACCTGAGTTCGAAGATCAGAAGGAATCCAAATATGTGCCTTTGTAGGGCCTTAGATATAGGCCTTGAGGCTTCCCATCAAAACTCCTTCTATACTCAACGTTCTAGCTCGAGGAACATAATAGATCCAAATAGGTGCCTTTGTAGGGCCTTAGATATAGGCCTTGAGGCTTCCTATCAGAATTCATTCCATACTCAAACGTTCTATGGTAATCATAATATAATAGAAATAAAGCTAAGGGATAGGTCGATTACTTGCGCCCCAAGTAACTTCGGACTTCTTGTTATCAAAGCTTGTCGTGGATGGGTTAAGTCCACATAAGGTTCTTTTTTATGCCTTGAGGCCAAGGACTTTTAAGTGATCAAATCTTACATGCCCAAGGGCTTAGAACTTAGATCTGGTTTGAACTGTGAAGACATATTCAAATCGGATTCAAGCACTGAGCAAGCCTTTTAATAGTCATCTTACTAGAAATAACTTGAATACAACTTGAAGTATACAACATATTGCTAGGTTAATGAATGAAAAGACAGAAACAAAGAGGGTCGGGCAAGGTTTTAACCTTGTCGGGCAAGGCTGATTGTCTTGCAACTTCCTATCTTTGTAGTTTATCAAGGGGGTTGAGAGCTTTAAAAAATGAGTAAATAAATAAGTTTACAGAAAGAAATCGATACCACAGTAGGTCCTTGACAAGGTAGCAGAGCTATTACAAAGGGTTTATCCCGAGAGGGATGAAGGCTTAGGCTGACTACAGCTTCGTTTTGAAAGCAAATCTGGCTTTGAGCAGAGTTTGTGCTTGTATTTGTTTGTTTGATTGAGTGTCCTCAACTCTGATTTCTCTTTCTTCTTTTTATAGACACTTTGGCTTTGCTTCCTATAGCAGTAGTCTTGCCCGAATGCAGTTTGAAGGATAGTGACTCATCAACTATTTACTTGTACTGCCACTGTAAAGTACTTTTTGGGCTGATTAGCTGGCTGGTCTATACCACTTGGTCTTTGGGTAGGTAAGCAAGTGGTGCAAATGATCTGCACCTAGTCGAGAAATGCCTTTTCTGTCTTCTGGGCTTCGGCTGGATTTCGGGCTTCTCTCCTCTTTTTGGGCCAACTCCCTTTTGAGCCCAAAGGTTAAGTGTTTTAACCCAAACAGTTGTCCTTACCAATATTTGATCAGGGTGGCACTAATGTGGAGAAGGTTGCTGGTGAGTTGTTTGATAAAATGCAGCGTTCATGGTTTTTACTTGATATTTATCCATCTGGTATCCTACTCCCCAATCTCTTGAATTTTTCAGTGACCATGTTACTTATTACACGAAATTCCGCATTCAACTTTGGATGTAATGTTTCAGCTCACTGAATTTATTTCTACTATTTATGGTCATTGCCAAAAGATTTCAACCACATCACTTTTTCTGGTAGTTAGTGACTCGATTATAGCTGCTCTCTCTCTCTCTGCTCTTCAACTATTTGATAATATGATGTCAGATTTCATTCCTAATGCTTCTCTGCATGGTGAATTACTTAAGGTATTGGATGTAAAGCCACTGGTTAGTATTTTCGATAGACTGCTAAATTGGAATTTGACAGTTCTAACAAACAAGAGTTGGGACTTTCCCAGGGTAACTAAATACCACAACCATATTGCAGCTGTAATTGACCTGTTGCTGGCGGTATGGAACTTGGAGGCAATAGTTGCAGGTAAGCAAGTTGTTTAGCTTACTCACACAAGTGGATTAAAGCATATTGTTTCAATGATCATTGCTTTCATTACATTGTTTTGGAAATGTGAGTCTGCTGCTATTCCTATAGAAGTGTTTGATAACAGACCTTCAAATAATGCTGGTTATGGGGAAAGAGTTTATTACATCTAGCATACATGGTTATGGAGGAATGAGTTTGATTTTTGGTTCACTGTACCATACAAATATCAGTTGATGCCTATATGTTGTTATCTCGTATGCCTAGAATCTTGGTTGGAGAGTGCTTCCACTCATCGTCTTATAAGCATTTTAACGGCTCATGACTGGATTTCCTCACAGACCCCTTGATCAAATTTTCAACCTTGTATCACTATCTTGATGTGTCTGTCAGTCTAGATAATACCATTAGCTATTCTGACACTGCTTTAACTTTGTTGATATTCAAAGCTCGATTCAACCATTTTGGTTTGCTTTTGTAAGTTCTTTCCTTAGAGTGGATTATTTGCCGCTGTTGCAGACTACAAGTGCCAATCGGATATGAGTGTGCTAGATTTTAATGTTTCTCCAACCGGGACAGATGCAGAGAAAGGATATCAGACTACTCTTGGAACATCAACTTGGGATGGAAAATGTTCAAACGATAAAGCACTTTCAGAATTTGATGATAAAGTTGCTTGGGTTCAATTTTTCATGGTAATGCAACATTTATCATGAAAAGAGAACAAACTACGCTCCAATGGATTAGGCCATTAATTTTGCGCGCTCTTCTTGTTCTATCCAACGAAAGGAGAACAAACTTGTAACTCACGTATGCTGTCTTTGGACATTCTACAGCGGTCATATGGAATGGACACATCTGCCGGCCAAAGTCGTCAAAACAATGTTACCACCAATATATCTCACACTGGGATTTAATTCAGTTATAATCTGGAGAGGTACAAGTGTTAGTACAACATTGCTTCGCGGTGGTGGGCCAAATTAAATTACCAAAAATATAAAATATATGTAGTTTGTATAATTTGACCACCAAGGTTGAGCTCCTATTGCAAATGATGCCAGCTTAAATTAATGCAACATTTGGCAATATTTTAGAATGTTTCTGATAGAATCAAGGCAAAGGAAGGAACAGAGCGAGTGGTTCGATTGAAACAACATGAGGACTTTGTCTAGAAACTGGCCCAGGGCAATAAAGTTGGGTGATAGTTTACAATGCTTCCACCATATTCTATTAAATTCAAGCATATATGATCAGGTGAATAGGTCAAGATAGTGTTGGTCGCTCCTTAATTACACTTAAGTTTGATTTTCTTTTATTCATGAATTAGAGTAGTTTAGAGTATTGTATATCCAAAAAGCAAAACTATTAAATCGGACAATATTCCAATCTTGCACTACACCAAATAACACATAGTGCTTAAGCAAATCAGATAAAACACGAGATGCTTCAAATATGAAGGACTTGCGCGACACGATTACACCACTATCCTGGGAAAAAAAATATTAGCTTATTTTTTGTCCAGAAAGGACAAGTATATTAGTAGAACGCAGTTCTTGTTATAGTCTCAAGAAAGATCTCCATAACATAGTGCAAAATAACTCAGTAGAAAATTATCATAAATTACGTGATATATTAATACAAGTTCAAAGCTCAAATTGATCTAAACTATATGATCAGCCGTTCGTACAACTTTGTTTAATTAACAACATAAAAATAACTTACCAAATATTTAAGTAAGCCAATTCTTTTGTATAAACGAAAACAATAGAAAGCACAAGAATTCCTGCTCTTAACCATGGACAACAAAGAAATCAAACAAAAAGTAAAAAGAAAAAAAAAGATTAATAGAGGCACATCGCTACACAGCGGTTGTGCGCGAATTCAGTAGAGCTTTCGAAGAGCCGGCTGACTGTGATGAATTATAGGTAGTGCAACTGCTACATGAACACTGAGTTCGATCTTTTACTGATGATCCGGTGAGGTTAGACGTATAGGAGAACCTACACATACTCAATGCAGGTGCAAAGTACGTTGGCACTGGCAACCTTGAAGGCAGGCTTGGCATGGGGGCTTCGAAATTGAGAACATTAATCACTTGCCTAATAGAAGGCCTAACGGTAGGATCAGGATGGCAACACCATAACCCTACTGTCATCAAGCACTCAATTTGTTGCTCATCAAATTCCTTATTCAATCTTTCATCAACAGCTTCAAGTATTTGGTCTTTTCCATACAAATCCCAAACCCACTCCACCAGCCTTACCCTACTTGGTTCTGCCTTTGCTTCGACCGGCCTTCTTCCACAGCTAATTTCTAGGGAAACTACCCCGAAACTGTAGACATCGGATTCTTTACTAGCCCTTCCATCTGTCACACATTCTGGGGCTAGATACCCCATGGTGCCTGCTAATACAGTTGTTTGTGACCCCAAACCATGGTCTACAAGCCTTGCAAGCCCAAAATCTCCAAGCTTGGCATTGAAATTGGAATCCAACATCACATTACTTGACTTAATATCTCTATGCACAACACATTGTTCCCACTCCTCGTGAAGATACAGAATTGCCGATGCTAAGCCAAGGGCTATTTTGTGCCTTACTGTCCAAGTTAGATGGAGCTTCATTCCAAACAGATGGGAATCAAGGCTTCCATTCGGCATAATTTCGTAGACCAGAAGGAACTCACCTTGTTCATGACACCAACCGATGAGCTGCACCAAGTTTCTGTGCCTCAACCGACTGATGATCCTCACTTCCGCTATGTACTCCTTTTTCCCTTGCTTTGATCCCCTAGATACTCTCTTCACAGCCACTTCTGTTTTTGACTCAGTTAGCAAACCCTTGTAGACTCCTCCAAATCCTCCCTCTCCAAGCTTGCCTCCCTCAGCGAAGTTGTTTGTTGCGTGATTTAGTTCACGGTAAGTAAACCTCCGCGGCCCAGTTCCCTTGTCAAATTCATCATCCATAGATATATCATATGCCTCATTTATCTTCTTAGCCCTTTTTCTCCAAGAGATGAACCAAAAGAGACCTAATCCACAACTCAAAAGACCGAAACCTGCCCCTAAACCAACCCCAATTCTTATTTTTCTTTCTGCTTCATTATTACTACTGATATCCAGGGTGGAACTAAATGACCAAGACAGAATGTTGTGTATTTCCACCCATGCACCCGTGGCTGCAGAGAAACCGACACTTACCAGCTCCGGCAACACCTTCCTCAAATCAATTATGTACGAAACACTACAATCTCCAGCGCTGAACTCTGGATTCTTAGAATACGTTAGAAAAACACTTAAATTTTGGGAGGTGGAGTTATAACTTACCCATGCATTTGCTACTGATCCATTTTTTATGGTAGTTTTCCACGAAATGTTGGCTACTGAGACAATGGAGTTGACATTGATTCCTACATGATCAGGACTTGGATCCCAACTGTTTTTAAAACTGTCAAACTCCACAGCAACAATTTGATTCTTGGTTGAGTTGAAGTTGGAATTGGAGCTAAATAGAGCAAGGTATCCCCCAGTTGAATTTTCTGGGATTTTCGAATCCAATGGTGCAAGGAAGAAAGATATGCCATCACCATAGCGTGTATCATTCAAGGCATTCATGACAAAGGTGAAATGGGTTGTGAAGTCGGTGAGCCTCCCCTTGCTGGCATCATAAAGACGCACGGGTTGAGCGAACAAGGCACGGCCAGCGCTTTCAGTTAGCGGACCATCAACTTGATTCTTTGTGAGCTGAATGACTCCTCTTGATGGGAAAGCATCACCTTGGTAGGTGATATCCTTTGTGTTTGTATCAAAACTGGAGATGTTGAAGGAGAACGAGTTGACATTTTCGAGTAGTAAGAGGAAGAGAAAGAAGTGGAAGAGAAGACAGGGAAAAGTTTGTGTTTGGAGGTGTGAAATTTGTTTGAAGAGAGCCATTGTTCAAGGGTCTGCATTCAGAAAGAAAAGCAAGAAGGGGGAGGCATGCTTATTTAGTCGGAGAGGCCTAGGCTGAGTTGAACTATATGCTTGTCCTGATTCCAGACTTGTTTTTCAATCAACCAAGTCAATTCCATCAAAAGGATACTCTTCTCAGCTCTTTTTCCTCAAATAATATATCACACAAATTATTGAAGAACATTTCTAATCATATTTTCTTTACCACAATATATGTGTGTGTGAGTGGGCGGGCGCACTTTGCATTATGGTCTAGTGACCTTATTTAGTTAAAAGATTTTAGATTTAACTCATCTGAATGACGAGTTAGAAATCCGCTGTTGGTGTGGAAGCCATACTTGTGGCCAGGGGGAGGCTGAAATGCCTTTGTTAGTCTTTCGACTCCCGGAAGGGATGAATAATTGTGACTTGCCACCAGTTGTCCTCTTTTTCTTTTTTTTTTCTTTTTTTTTTATTTTTTTTTAAAGATGCCTAATTATTATGGATTAACCCCAAATGTCACTCTTAGTGAAAAAAATATATATATTGTTCTTTAAAAAAAAAAATAAAAAAAAATAATAAAAAAAAAAATAAAAAAATAAAAAAAATAAAAAGTTAACTGATGCTTAAGTTGATGTATCGTGTGACGGAAATTGAATAGAAAAAAATCTTACACTGTCCTTACTCAAATTCTAAACTACACAATATGTTACACCAAATTACGTGTGCATACTCCAACTGCAAATTACTAGTTCTATAATCATATTTTCTTCATCCTATCATAGCATTATTGATGTCTTGTTACGGTCAAATGTTATCGGCTAATATTTCGAATTATGATTACTCTAACATTACTTTGGACTAAAATCAACATTAGCTACATCAGACGGGACACGTAACCGTACCGTGACGATTCATGCAGGATTTTAGTGTTTTGTCTGTATATTTGGCTGGGAATGTGGGTGCAGATTTTAAAATTCATTGTTGTGATGTTTGATGGTCGGCTTTCTGGTTTACTGAGTTATCTATAAGATGATAGCTGCGTTTCATTCAATAAGAATTGGTCATGAGTGATTAACTTAATTACGCCTTCGATCGAGGAAAATGACTTCGTAGCTTTCAGTCGGACTTTTTCATTTTCTATTGCTCTCTATCTACTCCAACTCAAGGTACTTGGAGAAGAGATCAGAATTAAAGTAATGCAAGTATTTGACAAAATAACAGGACAAAAAGATGAAATGTTTTACTAAATAAAGATCAAACAAAATTTTGCGTTGAAATCTTCTTCAATGTACATAAGGAACATCGCCGGTTGCCGTCCAAAATGTATATTTTGAAGGGACTATGCATAGTTGTTGAATTCTCAAGAAAACGAAACCATCTTTCACATCATAGACTTTTGATTTGGCCGGACAGACAAATGTGGAAGCACACGAAAATTTTAAAGAAGACGATCTTAACTACCACAACAATCCACCATTTGTATAAAGTTATACTTTAGCATCCAAGTGATTAAGAATGATAATGCTGTGAAATTCATGTCATTTTTATATTCACTATAATATATAGAGATCCATATGGAATTCTATGATTATTTCTCTTTAGAAGAAAAAAAAGCATTATATTTATATTGAGTCTTGTTCTATAAGCTACACCATGTAAACATGCAATAGAGATAGAGTAGTAGTGGACATTTGATTTCCTTCAACAACGTAGAAATTCGTAGTATTTTTTGGGAAAGTGACTCGATTGATGAGATTTGATATGTGTTGTTTAGGCTTGAAATATTTGTTTTGGGTTGAGAAGAGATAAATCAAGATGGACGGTCATGACACTCGGCACAATGGTGATCCTTTAGGCTAGGTGGCTTTCTTTGCCCAAAAATGGAGGATTCGGCTAAGTCCTAATGGTCAACTAAAAGACATGCACGGTAGAGACACTCATTTTCTTTAAGTATCTTTATCCCTATAGTTTGATACTAGATGGAGTAATAGTGCCACGAGATGAAGTAACTTTGCTTTTCAAATGCATAGTTAGGGGCTATGTGCACAGTGTTCTAAAAATCGGCCTAGGCGCTAGGCGGTGGTGTGCTGCCAGAATTTATGCCAAAGCGTTTATAAAATCGGGCAAAAGTTAGTCGGCCGCCCTGGGCGCTATCTAGGCAGTGGTAGGCAGCGATTTAGGCAGCCTTGTCGGAGCCTCGGCGTTTCTCCATTTCGCTGCGATCTGACAAGAAAAGAAAGAGTGTAGTGGAAATCTCAGCGATACATATAAACCCCACTTGGTTGTTGAAAGAACCACCTCAGATTTCTTCACAAATTGAGATGGAAGCTCTGACGATGAGAGTAGCTTGTGGAGGTGATAAGAGCTCTGATGAAAAAATGAGGCTTGATTCTGAGAAAAAGTAGAAGACGCAACATCTCTTTCTTGAAGATTGAGAAAAGGTGATGGAAACGAGGTTTTGGAATAAAGGAAGTGGAAGGCTGGGCTGGGACATTTTATATGGTTATAATTTTATTAACTTTTAAATTGGGGTTAATAATAACGGCCCATTTTAAGTATAACTAGGTTTTGTTATAATAAGTTTAATTAAATTAATAAAAATTATAAATTCGCCTAGTCTGCCTAGACACCTGCCTAGGCACTTAGCCACTAGGCCTCATGCAGCAGCCCGACTAATGCCTAATGTTTTTTAGAATCATGATTGTGCAACCATGATTTTTCATGACCGGACTTCTGAAGTAACTGTATTAGGATTAGCCTTACTCCAGCCCTAGAAAATCATGATCCCATAACACTCATCTAGGGTTCATCTTTGGTAACGCAATTATCTCATACTTATTATGTTGCCCACTGCTTAAGACTTATATTGCTCACTAACTTGACCATTAGAGAGCCTTTGACCAGCACACCCACCCTCGGTTTTTGGCTAGCTCATTGGTGTTTTTTTTTTCCTTATAGGTTACTCGGATTTGTATATCACCACCTTCTATGACGGTGCGCGAATTTAGTCCAACAAGTAGTATCTGTTGGTATATGGTCCAACCCATAATGAATGTTATAAATTATTTTGGTAAGCAAGTGAGGTGCCTGGAGCATGCTAGACAATTCTAGCATGTTATTAAGTTGGTGGAGAAGCTACAGAGTAGTAGCTTCTGATGTGGTAAAAACTAACACACAAATTAAACCCTATTAAGATAGTCGTAGTAGCGTAAGTAGGGATCATTCTAGGCCAGGGATTAGTTAGGTATGCTAATCAACACAAATTAAACTTAAAAACTGAAAACTAGACTCAAACAACTCAAAACAAGCAAAATTGACTCAAATAATACAAAACTAAGTTAAATTGACTCAAAAAAAGAACTAGAGGGTGATTTGGATGAAAATTATACTAAGAAGACTCAAAACAATAAAAAGAAACCAGTTTGGACATATTCTAACCTAAAGACACGAATTATAAAGGGGAAGTTGGTTTTTGACGACTTTGAAGTAAAAATACGTACTTTGCAGAAACAAACTAAATGTAATAGGAAATTGGGCGAATTAAGGGTGTAAGGCTAGCTAGAGGGTCATTCTCCACACATGACACATATGCATACAAATCAATTTCCAGTTATTATTCTTGTAAACCATGAATGACAATGCCCCAAATTAATCGTAAGAAGCACAAATTAACTTTCAGATTTTCCTAAATTCATTGAATTGGACTCAGCGACGCAACCAAATTATTCTTATCAAGTTCCCTACATGAACTGCATAATAGAGATACATATCAAAGATCATTAAGTTCTCTGAAAATCATAAGCATTGACAATGCATTCGTAACTATGAACTGCATGATACTCCTGCCAATAATTTACTAAACACAATCATGACTAGTGACTTTTACTACTTGTGAATATAAGTTCATAAAGATTAAGTGAAATTCCCTTATATCCTAGCATCAAATTCATGCATGCAAACTAAGTAGGCCTTCATAATCAACACACAAAAACATGTTATCAATTAAACAGATAAGTAAATTGCATTCACGATTTACGAAACAATAACTGGATGTAATCAATTCATATCACATATATATTCATGGCTTTGAATTCACCTCTAACTAAAATGAAATTAGTTCCACATGTTCATCACAATTGAAAACCAAATTAAACTAAACATTGGACTAAAACTAAGGATAGAAAGAACCCAGAAATGCTCTAGCACTCCAATGGCAAATTTGGCACAATCCTTGGCTATAGGGCATGACACAAGGCTCTTTCTTCTCCTTGCAAGCTACGACACAAGTCTTTAAAAACCCTCAGAAACCTGCGGCACTCTTATGTATTTTTCTTCTGATTTTTCTCTTTTGCGTGTGGTGTGTAATTGTGGTAAGAGATGTGTATTTATAGGGTTAGGGTTTTGGTACAAAGGTTGTAGAGAAGAAGGATTTAGCATGATAGATTCCTAGGGGGAAAGGACTAGGGAATTCGGCACAAAGCTTCTAGAAAGGGGTGTCGTGGTAGGAAACATAACTTCTAGAAGGCTAGGTGCGGCACCAATTTAGGGATAGGGTCTAGGTGATTTAATGTGAAATTGTTCCCCCCTTGCTACTGGAATTAAGGTAGGATAAAATTAGGATAGGATAAGATAAGATAAGGTTTGTTTGGATAATGTTGGATAAGATAAGGTTGGTTAAGATAATGTTCCTTCCTTTTAGCTAATTCCTTATATTATTTATCTTGACTTTATTTTCTTCATCTCATCAGCATGTTCCTAGCCTCTTGAACTTCAAAACGTCCATCCACCTTGCTCCATGCATATGCTATCCATTCTTGGCCCAAAACTGCTCCAAAATGCTCCAAATTGCGTTTTCTTGCCAACTTTGTCATTTGAACCTGAAAACACAAGAAAACAGCTTAAAACACTCTAATACGTAGAAACTAGCTATGAAAATGCAAGAAAACAAGCTAACTAAGTCACATAAATATGCAAAAACAAGCTAACTAAGTCGCATAAATATGCTTCTATCAAATTCCCCCACACTTAGCTTTTGCTAGTCCTCGAGCAAAC